TGATGTTATTATACATGTACTAGCTTGTAGTAATGAAACAAATACACAGGTCAACATGCTGTCATTTTGTTTTCCCGGCATATCCGTTTTAGGGAGTTTCTCTCGCGTTGCTGTGAAGCGTCCACGCCGTGACTCAACCAAGCACCCCACTGACACTAGCCGAGATCGAGCCTCACACTTGGGGGGTCACGGCTCCAAGCATGGGTCATCACAGCCCTCCACCAAAAGCCTTAAGGCTCTGAACAAGCATGGACCTAAGACGGCTAAGATGGTAAGTGACAAAACTAACATCACCTTTAATATAGTTTATTTTAGTTTGGACAAAAGCCACAGTTCAGACACACCTCGGTCCACATCTTCAGCTTTAACTTGGTAACACTGTGGAAGAACGTGTTGGGTAAATAACTGATAAAAAGCAGAAGAGATGGAGGACTAATATTCTAGAAAACATTTAGATCATATAATCCTCACGCTTACGCTGCAGCTCTGTAGCGTAATGTAGCGTCAGACATGCGGTGCTGCCTACAGCTGCTGGAAGAGCGAGGACTAGATTATTTAATTTGAGACAACACAATAAAAAAGTTACCTTGGCAACAAAGGTAACTAGGGCAGTAAAGGTGTGCTACAGATTTCCCTCCTCACCTGTGTAATTTCATCCAGAGCTTGTTCAAATCATTTACTGGCAGCTATGTCTCCAACTTAAACCTGTGGTCTTTAACCCATATTGACTGTCAGGCTCATGTTTGTCACAAACTACGGTTAAACATGTGCTGTTGCTTTCTCTTTGGTAAGTCTGCCAAGCCTCCACCGGCCAAGAAGAAGAAGAAAACTGTGACTCCAGCCTCACAGGACTCTCAGTCTGTTGCCAATCGTCTGGTGTATCTGACGGGCATCCCAGAGGACGCCTCCGAACAGGAGGTCACCGATTTGGTCGGGGCCTTTGGAAAGATCAATAACGTCATCCTCATGCCGCGTTCAGAGGAGAGCGAGAAGGGCCAAGGACAGAAGGTGGGTCAGTGGGCAGGGTGTTTCTTTTTCAAACAGATGATAACTAAAAATAAAAAGTGGTTTTTGTGTCATTTATCCTTTCTGTAAATGTGGTGATCTGTTAGTTTAGTTTAGTTTGGCTAGTCTAATCTCTGTCCTGGTGTTTCAGGCCTCTGTATGCATGGTGAAGGCTGAAGACGCCCAGGCTCTGGCCACCTCCACAAACCTCTCCATCAGAGAGCAGCACATCACAGCTTCAGTAGCTAAGGTGTGAGAAATGTTTTTCCTATTTTGAATCATGTCCGTGT